AAAAAAAAAAAAAAAAAGAAAGAAAGAAAAGAAAAGAAATTAGCCATTTCTAGAACTTAAGAGCAAGATGGACTTCTTTCTTGATTGACAACCCTGATTGAATCACATGAATGTGAGAAGGGCAGGTCCCATGGAGAAAGATTTGAAAGCTCACCCAACCAGCAATAGATGTTCATGGCAATGTGGAAGAAAGCCTGGGACTGGAAGTTAAGAGAGCTGGGCTAAGTTTGTTTGTTTGTTTGTTTTTGAGTCAGGATCTCACTCTGTTGTCCTGGCTGTAGTACAGTGGCACAATCACAGTTCACCACAGCCTTGACTTCTTTGGCGCAGGCAATCCTTCCACCTCAGCCTCTTGAGTAGTGGGGACTTTGTGCACCATCATGCCCGGTTAACTTTTTTGATTTTCTTGTAGATATTAGGGCTTGCTATGTTGCCCAGACTAGGTTCCAATTCCTGGGTTCAAGCAATCCTCTCACGTTGGTCTCTCAAAGTGCTGGGATTACCTAGCCTTAAGTTATGGCCATGTGGTGTTGGGCAAAGCATTTAAACTTGCTGTCTCTCTGTTATATCTAAAATAGGACTAAACAATGATAATATTATAACAATCAAGAGATCAGCATGTGAAAATGATTTGGAACCTCTGTGCAAATTCAAAGGAGCTTAGTCATGATCATCATGAAAGGCAGTAGATCACAGAGGCTGGGCAAAATGCATTTGGTTGTGGAAACAACCCAAACGTCTGTCAACTGATAAATGGATACACAATGGGGTATATCTATACAACAAAGTATCACTCCACCTTAAAAAGGAATGAAGTACTGAAACAGATTATGACATGGGCGACTCTTGAAATGTCATGCTAATTGAAAGGAGCCAATCATTTAAAAAAAACAAAAACCTGCTATATGATCCCATTCATATGAAATGACCAGAATAGGCAAATCCATAAAGACAGAAAGTAGATTCATGGTTGCCAGGGGCTGGGAGGATAGAGGAATAGGGAATAACTGCTGATGGTACAGGATTTTGTTTTGTGAGGATAAAAACGTTCTAAAATTAGATTGTGGTGATCATTGCACAACTCTGTGAATATGCTAAAAACCACTGAATCGTACAATTTAAATGGGTGGGTTATACACTCTGTTAATTTTTGTCTCCATAAAGCTGTTTTTTTTTTTTTCCTTTTGAGAGCTCTGGAGCCAGAATGCCTGGGTTCCAGTCTCAGCTCAGCCACTTACTAGCCATGCAACCCAGGGCAAATGACTTAAACTCTCTGTATTCATTCCCCCGTCTGTGAAAAAGAGGTCATAATACAAATTCAGTTTTCATGTTTTGAGGATTGCAAAGGCAAACACACGCAAAGCACTGTTGACAGTGTCTGGCACACATGCCATGCTCTATGTGGGTAAGCAATTGGCAAGGTCTATGGAAACGGAGGGGCAGTGGCTATTAACGACAAGCTAGATGTCAAGGGAGTAGGTGGACAGGGCAGTGAAGTCACAGAGCCAGTATCCGGGGCCCTGGAATATAAACTGAACACTGAGCTGTAGACTGACTGGGTATGTACTCCTTACATAGCAGAGGGCCCACTGCTGGGATGATGAGAACCAGACTCCTGGGGGTCTTAAGTCATGGGTTTACAGGTCAGCTATAGGGCCCGGATGTGCACACTTTTTAAAAGCCCCCCTAGTGACTCTAATGTCAAACCGGGTTGAAGAATACCTGGTATGGACCTCAGGGGAGCAACAGTGTCTAGATCAAGCAGTCCTGAGCCCATAGACCACAGGGGAATGGCGGGTGGGACTGGAAGCAGGCCTGATGATAACTGCAGAGGGTTCTTAGGCCAGTTAAGGAAGTGCGTGGGGATGGGCTTGTTTGGTCTCTGAGGCCACCAACAGAAACCATGCAATGAGCAGGTTTGCCTTCCCTGTGCGGAAGTGACAACTTCGGAAAAAGACTCAAATGACAAACTAGAAAACAAAGCAACAATTTGGTCTGAATTACCCAAGAAGAAACATTCACACGGTGGGGCTGGACATTTAGACATAGCTTTATTAAAAGGTGCATGTCTTCCTTGTTAACTAAGTCTCCTCCTAGATTTCCCTCTGGAAAGCCACAGAATCATAGAAAACCAGAATCACTAGACACAAAATCATCAAGGCATGGCTTCGAGGAATAGTAATACCCAAGCTACCCCACCCAAAGAGTGTAGATACTGTAAGCACACCCATTGCAGAGGTGACACCACGGGAGGGCTGAAGACAGTAAGAAACAGCCTTCTACTTGTAAAACCTTGAGTATTATGCTGATGTGAACCGTATTAGGTGGAGAAGGTCCCACATTCATAGAGGCATCTAGAACAGAGAACTCTGGGACGCCTCAAACAAGACTTCGGGTCTTACAAGAGGGAAGATTAAACTGGCAGGAGGAACTGAGCTGGAATCCCATCCCCACCCTCGTTTTCAAGATCACCTCTTTGCAGACAACACCCACAGGTGGTAAGATGTTCTTACCTCAAAGTCAGTGCCTGACAGCCAATTCACCCTGAAGGCCTCAGTTAAGGGATTTGAGTTGATTATCATGGGAAAACCTGGGATCACAGGTGACAGTGATGCTGATAATTTCACAGAAAACTTGTGCACTGAAGTCTCAGGTGGAGAATTCTCGGCCACGTTGCCTGTGGCAGGTAAGTGGATTAGGTGTAGTGCGTCTCCTGCTGTGGATTTAAAAAGGAAGCAAAACAGCATGAACACAAAGCCTTTTGCTGGGAGCAGGGACTTAGCAGCTTGGTCTGTGACTTCAATTTGTGGCTCAGGGTGATGAGGGAAGCTGGTCACTCCCCAAGAACGAATGTTCTTGTCAAGTGCTGGAAATGGAAACACGACATCTTCTGGGATTCAAGAAAACAACCAACACCAAACGACCAAGAGTTCTGTTTCTGCCACTTGGTAAATAAAGCTGCCTCTTTGCTCCTGTCTCCCTACTTCCCTTCTCTTTTCTCCCAACCTTTGTGAAAAGCCAAGGAAAGAGAAATATGTCAGCTTAGGAGAGAGACACATAATGGAAAGACCTATTCTGGTAATGACATCCTCTCTCTTGCAAGGACCGTGTCATTTACAAGAGCTTGTTTTCCTTCTCTGTTCAGTGATCCATGAGGTCATCTGAGCATTGAGTGTGCATGACTGGAGACCTCCAGAATTGTAGTAAGTCTCCCCACGTCCATGAGTAATCTCAAGGACAATTGTTTGGTATTATTGGACTCCACTGGTATCACATGGAGGGCCAGTCAGGACTTCTGGTTGAAAGATTAATACCCGTTTCATAGAGAAGGAAATGAGAGACTCGGAGTGTAAACCACCCTGGGGTGCATTACAGACAGGAAATTTTACAATTTAAGAGAAAGTATGTTCCTTCCAGGAAAGCCTCACAACCATGCTACGGTATCCATGACACCCTGTAAGACTTTGCCATTACAGAAGTAAGCAGCAGGTTACGTTTTCTCGTGCTTCCATAGTGAGGGTTACTGTTGTGTGTGCAATAACATCCCCCAAAGATTCATGACCACCCAGAACTGCAGAAGGGACCGTATTTGGAAACAGAATCTTTGCAAGTGTCATTAACTGAGAAGCAGTCATATGGACAAGGGTGGTCCCTAAATCCAGAGCCTAGTGTCCTCATAGGAAGACAGGACATCCCCAGAGGGAAGGAGGCCATGAAATACTGGAGACAGAGATGGTAGGAATTCTGTTACAAGTCAAGGAACAGAAAGCAACTGCCAAAAGCAAGGAGGAAGTCTTGGAGCAGACATTCCCTCAGAGCCTCCAGAAGGAATCAGTCCAACACACAACCTCAGACTCCTGGTTTCCTGAACCACACAGAATGGATTTCTGTTGTTTTAAGCCACCCAATATGTGGCTATCTGTTATGGTAGTCCTAGGGAATGAATACAATGTCCATTTATCTAATGTTCCAAATAAGTGCAAAACATAGAATCCTTTATTTCACTAACTCCTCAGAAAACCACGCAGATAGGCATTAGTGATATTGTTTTCCAGATGAGGACGCTGAGCTAAAAGACACACAGCAAATAATGAACCACAAAGCCAGGGCTTACACTGAGGTCCTGCTTCCCAGTCAGCTTCTACCATTGGCCGCTGGGGACAAAACACTTGGAAAAGCAGGAGGCCCAGGAGTGGGCAGGCACGGTGAAAGGGTCTGTCCTAGCAAAAGGTATAACATTTCCAGAAACAAACAAGCCGTTGTAAGAGGATGTTTTTATTCCAGCTGGGGGGGGCATGTGCAGAGCAATAAATGGAAGTGTGAGGAAAATTGAAATGTAAGCACATTCACTGATACAAGCGTTTATAAATCTAAAATCATCTTATTTCGTTTAGAGGCTAAAATGCATAATGCATAAGCTATTGTTGCTTGCAGAATTACCAACTTTTATGGACAAGGACTGTGCAAGGACTCAGAAATATCGAAACAGCTGAATTTAGGGTGACGTGAATATGAATAGGTTTTTAAAATCTATTAAAATGGACTTTACGGCAACCCCTTCAGGTTCCCTCCCACTGTGAGAGCTTTTCTGTCTTCTCAGTAAATCCCGCTTTAAAAAAAAAAAAGGACTTTACTATTATAGCATTCTTGTGATAAAAACCAGGAGCAAAATAGTATGTTTGGGGTTTTTAGAGACATGAAGCTCCCAAAAATAGTTTTTCAAAGTGAGCAAAACAATCAATTGCTTTGACGGGTTGGGTTCTTTGGGCATCATTCCCTCACATTCTCTGCTTTTCCATAAGTGGACGTCTCCAGAGCTTCCCCCTCCTCCCCGCCCCTAGCCTCTCATGGGCATGTTTTCTCGCTGTTCAGCAAGACAAGGACAGCCATATGCAAACGGAAATGCTGGCAATTTGTCTCGTTTGAGCCCCACCTTCTCACCCCTACCCTTTCCTTGCTTCCTCACTGCCCCACCCCCAGTGGCTTGTGCCCCTGCAGTCAAGAAGCAAAGACAGGACTTGCTACGTTTTTCTCAAGAATAGCTTGGAGTAAGGTAGTGACCAGCCCAAAGACATAGACTAAACTAAGTAACTGCTTGCATTTACCAAGCACTTGTTCAGCAGGCACTGTGCTCGCTGCTTGTCTGCCTGATCTCACTCTCTGGCAGCACTATTCTGTGAGGTAGGAACTGCTGTCGCCAGTGCACGCTCCTGAGATTATATACTCAACAAGGGACTGCGGTGGGCCCCGGCTTGCTGCATCTGGATGTGTAGATAATGGATAGCACGTGCCTACTACCGACAGCCAGTGGCTCCATGCCTGCACACGACCATGCACGTGAGATGCATCACCGGAGATGTTATAGCGACATAGCTCTGGGGGCTGGCAAGAAAGTGAACCTTCCACCTGGATGTTAGATTAGGATAATGTGCCCTATGAGAGCTGTCTTTGGAAGAGCATGAAGAACTGTGCTGGGGTGGAGTCCAATGGGGGCTCTGGCATGAGAGACTAGCAAATCTTCCTATGGGGCTTTCCATGGTCGTATCCCTAGTGGGCAGGCCCCTATGGCCACCAACTCTAGAGGGACTCTTTTGGGGAACCGGGGGAGTCTAAAGAAGCTATGCTCCCCCACTATTTTCTCCTAGTTGACCTTACTGGGAGTGTATCCACTGATTTTGCCGAGTTTATCATAACTTTGATAAGACCCAGGTCTGAGGGTCTAATGCCACAAAAGACCCAGCATTCCAATCCAAGGCATCTGACTCCCAGGACAGCCCCATGGTGCCTCCTTAATTTACAGAGCTTGTCACAGTCCTCCTTGATTGGTTGTATTTTGAATGGCAGTGAGGGAGCTATTTTGGAAGAAGCAGATCTATCCAGTGTCCCTCAAGCAATTTGGGGTGGGGAGCTGCTTGTCCCATGCATGGCTAGAGCCAGACTGCCTTGGATATGTCCTGTCTGCTGATGTTCTCACTAGAGCTGCTCTGTCTTCTTCTGGTGGCCTCTCTTCCTAGGGCAAGGCCATGTGTGCTAGGGTCATGCAACTGAATCCTAATAGCTTTAAGGCGGACACCCTGTGGACACTTATAAGAAAGGTAGCCAAGCTGGGCTCTCCCAACCTTAGTTCCATGCCCAATGCCCAGTTCTTCAGCTCTCTTGCCTTTTTTTTTTAATTAAGAGACAGGATCTTGCTCTATTGCCCAGGCTGGAGTGCGGTGGCACAACACAATCATGGCTCACTATAACTGCAAATTCCTGGATTGAAGCAATACTCCCATCTCAACCTCCTAAGTAGCTGGGACTACAGGCTCATACCACTATGCCCGACTACTTTTAAATTCTATTTTTGTAGAAACAAAAGTCTTACTATATTGTCTAGGCTAGTTTCTAACTTCTGACCTCAAGTGATCCTCCTGCCTCAGGCTCCCAAAGTGCTGGAATTACAGGCATGAGCCACTGCACCCAGCCTCCCTTGCCATTAACAAAAGTAGTTGCTAGGCTCAGTGGCTCAGCCTGTAATCCCAGCATTTTGGGAGGCCGAGGCAAGTGGATGGCCTGAGTCCCCAGGTTCGAGACCAGCCCAAGCACCTTGGCGAGACCTCGTCTCTACAATAAATCAAAAACTAGCTGGGCATGGTAGTGCAAGCCTGCCAATAGTTCTGGCTACTTGGAAGGCTGAGGTGGAAGGATCGCCTGCACCCAGCACGTTGAGGCTGTGGTGGCCAGGAGCATGCCACTGCACTCCAGTCTGGGCAACAGAGTGAAACTCCAACTCAAAAAAAACCAAAGTAGTTAGTAGTGGTAGTAGTAGTAATAACAATAGCAATAACAATAAGTGACTAGGGTCCTCACCCTAAAAATAGAGCAATTAAGAAGATACAATATTCACAAAATTATTCAACCCATTTGTTATACAGGTAAGTTTAAGGGATATACCCAGAGGCACCCAGCAGAGGGAAGGTTGGAAACCAGGTGCCCTGTACTTTCCTTCCAAGGCTGGTCTTCCGGGCTTTCCTTGGTGGTCCGAGTGCCAGAGAGTAGAAAGAGGCTTTAATGGAATTTGACTTACACATGCATCTTAATTAAGAATCAAATCAGAATTGCTTGAAGCATGTAGTTTGCAAAAGGAAAAGCATGCCAAAGATTTATTGTCAGTCACTGAGCCCACTGAAACATCTTGCTTGTGGTGGAGACCTGGAAGTGTGATGTGCTCACTTGTTCCCCTTCCCAGAAATAGAACAGTGGGGCCTCGTATTGGTATCTTCAAAGCCTCCACAGTCTCAGTGAGCAGGCAGGAAGCTGGCCACCCTGGGCCTCTGACATCGAAAGTTTAGTGATGTGTGTCCAGAATGTGGGGTGATGCCATCTTCTCCTTCTGGAGATGCAGAGGCTCTAACAGCTCTGCTTTCAATACACGGAACAGGACTCACCTGAGACCGTCACTCAGTGAGTACCTTTTCCTTCCCTCTAGCTCCAAATCAAAACAGTCATGAAAGAAATCAGAATATTGTGAAGAGAGCAAGGGATTTGGCATCAGAGCCCTTGCTTCAAGCTTTAGCTTTGCAGCTTCTGGACTGTGCGACCTTGGGCTGGTCCCTTGTCTTCTCTGGGGATCTCTGTCAACTCTGTCTCTCAGGGCTGTGGTGCTAACTAACAGTGGTCGTTAGATAGGACTCTATTACCAAAGAGGACTCACTGGACTCAAATGACATTGCTTACAAATCTGCAGTTTTATTACAGAAAAATATACAGTATAGCAACAACAATCAAGTAAGGAAATGCATTCCAGCTGAAGGCTGCCTCATAGCAAGAGATATACAGAGGCCAGGGGCTGGATTCTGTTGTCCCCTTTTCTCCAAGGAATGGCAAGAAGCACTTTCTTGGGTCATGAACCACCGATGTATGCACAAATACTTTGGAATCATGGAGGCTCTGCTGGATTTTTATACTTTGCTATAGAAAAAAAATCTCGCTACATGACCGGCCTCAACAGTAGAATCCACTGAGGCCCTCCTGAAGGCCAGGTGCAAATCATCCATCTCACTGTCATCAATAAACAGTGCTCACAAGCACTGCCAACCGTTCGGAATGCCTAAGATCCATGGCTACAAAGCAACACTATTAATCAGCATGCTTTGTGCCTTAACCAGGGGTCAGTGTGGTACAGGAATTTTAGCAAAACAACCCAGGCTACTACCAGCCTATAGGAACTCACTCTCACAGCACAAGTACCATAGAAAAAGGCATGTACTTGATAAACTAGAAAGCAATAGCAAATCTTGTTGTTTCAGTATATGTAATATCTTCCTGTTCTTTCATTTCTGCAGTGCACCAGGTTGCCACCAGCAAGGAAGAGGAAGGGAAAGCTGACAAAAGGGATTGTTTTTTGCTTTACTGAGGTCGATTCTGAACAGGAAAGTGACATGATAGAAAGAGCAGAAACCTTCTGCAACATTCTTTGGTCCCCATATAAAGGATTAATTGGCCAACAGAAACACTTTCTGGAAATGAATGGCATCTTCTCGCCTTTTCAAATGATAAGATCATTAAGAAACAGTTACATCTATTCCCAAGAAGCATAAGACACTGAGTCTTGGGCCTCTATTTTTTTTTTTTTTTTTTGGTTGGTGTCTTACTCTATCACCCAGGCTGGAGTGCAGTGGCAGGATCATAACTCACCGCAACCTTGAACTCCCAGGTTCAAGGGCTCCTCCTACCTCAGCCTCTCAAGTAATTGGGACTATAGGCGTACCTGGCTAATTTTTAAATTTTTTATAGAGATGACGTCGTGCTATGTTGCCAAGGCTGATCACAAACTCTTGGGCTCAATCAATCCTCCCCCCTCAGTCTTCCAAAGTGCTGGGATTATAGGTATGAACCACTGTGTGATTTCCCAACACTGCCTAGCAGAGAAACCAGGCCCAGTTGATGGGCTCAGAGGACTTTCTGGAGAAATCTATGATAGCCTTTTCCCAGTGCCAGTCAAAACTCAGGTTGATGGGCTTGGTACCTTTTCATGTTCATGAAGATCTTGCAGTTCCTGAAGAACCCTTCTTTCATTGAACATCCTGGCATTTTCCATTTCCATGAGAGTAATGCAAAATCTAGTTCCCTGGATGCCTTCTCAAAATGTAGATGGCTTCTGTGTGCAGTGACTTTAAATCTACCAAGGTCCTTTGCTAAGTGGCATCTTCTAAGAATGACACATGACCTGTTGGTTCTGATGGAGCCAGAAGACAGTTTTGTCTCAACTCTTTTCTACTGATACAGTTGAGAGTTTTGTCTAGTTTATGCTCCTGGGGGTGGGGGTGGGGTGGGGAGGTTCCTTTGTGAGCTGTTATTGGAATGGGGCACTATAGTATCACAAGAGAAACTCATCCTCCTCATTGTTAGCAGAGGTGGAAAGGATAGATGCCAATTTAAATACCAACGTTAGGCAAGAAGAATAAAGGCCTGCATCTGGGAGTATCAGTAAATGTTGGTGGGGGGGAACCCGACCTGACACCAGATTCAAAAAGGATGGTAATCAACAAAATAACGCTTATGTATTGGATACCCCTCCATGTATGTGGCACTTGGGGACAAAAGAGCAATGACAGATGTAAAATGGCCTAGTGTAGGAGACAGAACAGACCTCTCATGAAAGAATTACAAGATGATAGCTCATGCTCCTTTAGGTTGAGCATTTATTCATGTTAGATGCTGTACTAAGCTCTTAGCATGCAGTCCATGAATAGGCAAGAGAATTCCCAGTACAACTGAAAGAGCACACGCCAAGAGATAGGGCAATCCATGAAGACTCCATGGGGGAGGAGGAGCTTAAGTTGGACCTTGAAGGAAGTATAGGACCAAGTGAAAGGGAAGAGGATACTGTATGTTACTTATTTGTAGTGATTATGGTGATGCCTGTTACCCCCACCCTGAAGGCAGGAGCTGGTGTGGCTGTCACTGCCACACCCTAGAATCTTCTGAAGCCCTGGTGTTGGAGTGTGAAGGTGATCAGGTTCTCAGACTCAAAAAAAAAAAAAAGAAAGAGATAAGGTGAGAGAGAAGCAGTCTGCATCACAGCAGCCCTTCCAAAAACTAGGATTTGACTTACGGAAACAAGCATGGTACAGTGCATGGTCTTTTGGGAACAGAGGGATTCAATTGTGTTGTTTTGTTTTGTTTTAATAAGAAATTTCTCGCAACCCTTTGTGATCTGCTCCTTTCACACTTCCAAATGATAGAGACCAACAAGAGAAATTGAGTTCTTTCTAACCTCACTCTTCCCTCAGTGACAATAAATGTCACCTCGACTTAAATGATTATGGCCCTAAAAGCCCATATTTCTGGGGAAAAAAATCTCAAGTGATTACTGCAACTGAGAGCCTGAGCTGCTCAAGGCCCACTACACACTCCCAGTTCCTTCTGGCCTCCGCCAAGTCAAAAAGCACCAGATGAGAGAGGGCTCAGGATTGGGACACCCCGTTCTCTTTCTTAGTAGCCGATCAAAGAGGAAAATTAAATGAGAATATCCACAGGTCTGGAAAAAAGCCTTTGATTTAAAAATCCATTTTGATTTACAGACAAATACTCTAAATAATATAAGAACAAAAGCTGTCTCCTTAACATATTTCTCTTTCACACCAAAAGCCAACATTATGCTTAATGGAAAACAAGTAAAGTGCACTCTTATCATTATTTAACAATGGTCAAAAAGTACAGGACTGGCAATTAGATAAGAGAAAAACAGGAGGTGTAGAAATAAAAGAGGAAGAATATAAATGTTCATTATTTTCAAACCTGGAAAATGCATGAGAATCTACTGAGAGACCGTGACAAATAAGGAGACAATTTGTTAATAGACTTCCATACATGATACAACAATCAGTTAAAAGGCAGAAGGGAATAAACATTTACAAATGTAGAAAAAGAAAAAGTAAGAGAAGGAACTAGAGATAACTATAATCAGAATGTGCAAAATCTGTCTGAAGGAAACCTTACAATGCTCCTAAGGAAAACAAATGAAGACTCAAACAAGTAACTAGAACCCTGCTCTTGGATTAGGAAGATTCAATATCATAAATAACAATCATCAACATTTACTCAGCATTCACCACATACCAGCCACTCCTCTTAGTATTTTACCACATAACTCATCAAGGATGTAAATTAACCCTAAATTAATCTGCAAATTTAACAAAATTAAATTCCATATATTATGCATATACTACCTATTCAGAAATAAAATTTAATTTTAAAAACTCAATTTCAGTAATCTTAGCTGGCAACACTAAAAGATTATCCAAGATTCCTGATGCTCTTGACTGAGGATCACCAGGTTGAATTTGTGGCCCTTGTATCAGAAGGTGTTTTTTTTGCTCAAAATGAAGACAATAACCCCTCAGTACCTCAGTTTCCCCACAGGATAACTTGCCAACCTCAAGTTGCCCCACAAAACTTCAGAGAAGTGCCACAATCGCCACAAAGACTGACCTGACGTACCCACAGAGCTCTGCTATGAGAATTATTTTCCCAACTGTAGATCTCAGAAGGGGAGGACTTCCAGGGCAGGCCAGTTCCCACAGGAGGGAAAGTGAAGTCTGCACAAATGTAGATAAGACTGCAGCTCTTTTTTTTTTTTTTTTAGTTGGAGTCTCACTCTGTCACCCAGACTGGAGGGAAGTGGCCACTCCCGGCCACCGGAGCCTCGACCTGCTGGGCTCCGGCGATCCTTCCGCCTCAGCCTTCCAAGTAGCTGGGATTACAGGCATGCACTACCACGCCCGGTTGAGTTTTTGATTTATTGTAGAGATGAGGTCTCGCCTGCCCAGGCAAGTCTCGAACCCGCAGGCTCAGGCAGTCCACTCACCTCAGCCTCCCAAAGGCGCGGGATTACAGGCTGAGCCACCGAGCCGGGCTCAGACTGCAGCTCTTTAAGCACCCCTCTTCTCCAGGATGGCCCTACCTCAGCCCCCCACCCCCACCCCCAGAGCTCTAGGAAGCTTCCCCACTCCATTCATCATTGCAGATAAACCCACAGTTGTACAAGAGGCCATTTCCTCCTTGGGGAAATTATACAATGGCATCATGCAAACCAGGTAGGCCAAGCTTGGTTCCAAAGCAAAATGGAGTTCCCACCTGATAGGGCACCCAGGAGAAGCAGGACAACGGCTGCTTCCTGCATATTTGATGTTCATGCCTCTGTGTGCTCCCAGCACATCATCCAAGACCTGAATCCTGCCTCACATCCAAGGTTTATTCCAGACGCCACTTAGCTTCCCTTCCTGGTTTTGTTGCCATGCAAGAAATCAAACAGAGGCTGTGGTGGTAACTAAGGGAGACTGTAAATACCACAGGAGTGTTTGTTCTCTCATTACCTGCTTCTGTGACTGCATGGTACCCAAGAGGCCTTGTCTTGGTCAGCTCAGCATTCACCTTAAAATCCACACTCACCGTGTGTCCCAACAGAGAGCTCCAAAAGAGATGTCAAAGAGCAAAGAAAGAGCAGACGTTAAGATAATTGTAAAAGCTCAACACATGCATAATCCACCCACGATGGTCTCAGTTTCCCTGTAAGCTTGTTGTCATTTCCAGAAGCGGGGGTGGGAAGTGGGAATGTTTCTGCTGCCCTGAATTGATGAATAAGACTCAGACTTGGGAACCAACTGGCACTCGGTTCTAAAGAGAGGAGCCAAGAGCTGGGACCAGACCCTTCCTCAAGCCTGACTCATGCTTCCTAATTCCACCCACTGCCACAGCCTCTCCAGCCCTCAATAAAGGCTGTGGTGAAGATTCCTGGAGTCATAGGCTTCTGCCCCAGGCGGCCCTCTGCCTGGGCACAAGGTGTGACTAGTGAACAAACATGGGCCGAGGTCCTGCCTGCCCTCAGGAAAAGAGCAATGGGGGGGGGCTGAGGGAGGATGGTGGTGGAACGGCCCCGTCCTCTCTACATGGTGCGGTATGAATAGTTGGGGGCACAATGGAAGAAAGCTAGACTTGGCCTGTCTGTCTCTCCTATTCCTCTGCCTGCTGGGGGAGGGGAACCCAAGGCTGGCAGAGGAATGGAGTGAGGAGATGGGGACTTGAGCCTGAACCTCCCTGTCAGGGGCATGAGCAGCGGGGAGACCCCACGGCACTCTGAAAACCACACACGTGCCCCACAGGTGAGCCAGATTTCGGAGCCAGCCACGCAGAGGTCACCAATGGCCAGTTAGTAGTTACGAGCTAGAGGAGTTGCAAGGAGGGATGGAGGGAGACAGAAACTCAGGCAGATACATAGGGACACCACCTCTTCTCCTCTTCCTCCTCTCCTTCCTCCTCCTCCCCCTGGTCCACTCTCCTGAGACAGGGAGGAGCAGCTCAGAGCCATAGCACAGCATGTCCTGGCCCCAAACCCAGAATACCAGCCCAAGTCGAGTTTGAGATGGATGCTTTAAACTGTGGAGGACTATGAATGTGAGCAGAAAGCCAGGTGTGGAAGGCCAAGGAAGGAAAATTTAATAGAAGGAAAAAATGAAGCCGTCTCAGTTTACACGTAACTGCTAAATAAGCTAGTCATAGCCCCAGGGACACTAAGGCTCAGAGAGTGAGGGACTTGCCCCAGGCCAGGCCTTCTGACCGTGTTCCCTGCTTCCCAAACCCAGGCTTTTGAGGCTGTCCTACCTTCGCTCCCCCAGCACCCCAATACTCATCAAACCCTGTCTAGCCTCCAAGTACCTCCTGCCACTGCCCTTCTCAGTTTTGCGGTCACCACCCTGGCGCAAGCTCCTTGCCTCTGGCCTGACCTGTCTCCATAGCCTCCCATGCATCCTGCAGGAACTGTCAGGTTATTTTCCCAAAAGTACTCTTTTGATCTTTCACTTTCCTGCTCAAAATAACCACCTTTCCCTTAGGAAAAGTTGACTTTTCCTGTACAACACAGAAAGAAAGGATAGTAAGACCCAGAGAGTTGGTCTACAGGATTTTGTCTAAAGTAGGTAGATGGTAAAAAACAAAGTTTTGCTCTGTGACCTTAGGCAAGCCACCTAACCCTTCAGAATCTCAGTTCCACTCACTTCTATAAATCTGAGAAAATAACACCTGCCATGCAGTGTCACCGTAAGCAGTACGTGAGATAGTGAAGTGAGAAAAACTGGCCGATATTTTATGCTCTAATGATACTATTGTTTTCCTAATAGGACATCTATGGGACCCAAGGGCTGGAACATAGTAGGTCCTCAACACTGGCTGAATAAAAAGAGGAATAAATAGCAGTTGCCAAGTTACCAATTCTCACCTCCTAGTGTTTCCTGTCATATTAGTTACTGTAAATAATCCATTTCATTATGCATAATTAAAGCTGAAGTGATGGCTCAGATTAAGTTATGGAAAACGTCAGAATAATTAAAGCTTCAAATTAAAGAAACTCACATCTGTTTAATTTTCAGCCTGACTGCACAGTGTTTTGCATGTGGCCCTGTTTTCACCAGGATGGCGTGAGTCTCCCCTTTCATCCCCTCTCTGGTTCCAGGGCATGTAAGGGTCATATTTTGGAACTTGCTGTGCATGTTTCTCCTGTAATTACAGCTTCTGTTTCCAGCCCCGAGGTTGTTTCTGCCATTGCCATGGGCTGTTACCCCTTTGTCAGTTCGAAATCACGTGGCCCTGGCACTAGACATGAATTGCACAGGGGTTGAACAGGACCCGGAGACCGCTTGCTCTCTTGCCCCTGACTTCCGACATGCTGAGTTGTCCTGGCTCCACCAAGGTCTTAGCTGGGAGGGAAGAATGGAGCTCTCAGGCAGAGTGGGACCACTGAGGCAGGCACCCCTTCAGGGCCACATGGTAGACCTGGGAGCCTTCTTATCTAAGATGTCCTGCCCAGCAGTGATTCAAACCCTTAAGGTACTTCAAGGGACTTCCCTGGGAACCAGCTATTGCAAGTGTCTAATTAGCTAGCAAAGGAATTGTGTTCCAAACATTTGTTGACTTGGAACTTGTGACCCAGTTTTCTATGGATGGACTGTTAGTAGCCTACAAAACCTTACATAATCAATAATGTACGGTCATGCGCCATATAATGATGTTTTGGGCAATGACACACAGCACAAATAGTTGATAATCACAATAAATGACTATGCTACTGGTTTATGTATTTACTGTACTATATTTTTAATTGGTATTTTTAAGTGTACTTCTCTTTATTAAAAAAAAAGTTAACTGTAAAACAGCCCCCAGCCATGCCCTACAGAAGGTATTCCAGAAGCAGGCACTGTTATCACAGGAGATGACAGCTCCATGTGTGTTGTAATCCCTGAAAGACCTTCTAGTGGGAAAGATGTGGAGGTGGAAGACAATCCTATTGGTGATCCTGACCCTGTGTAGGCCTAGGCCAAAGTGTGTGTTCGTATCTTAGTTTTTAACAAAAAAAGCTTAAAAAGTAAAAATAATATAAAAATTTGAAAATAGAAAAATATTGTAGAATAAGTATAGAAGGAGAGAAAATATTTTTGTATGATGTGTTTGTGCTTTAAGAGGAGTGTTATTACAACAGAGTAAAAATGTTTTAAAAAATTAAGTTTATAAAGTAAACAAGTTAGGGTAAGCTAAGGCTAATGTATCATCGAAGAAAGAAATTTTTAAAAATAGATTTCACAAACCGGGCTCGGTGGCTCACCCTGTAATCCCACGCCTTTGGGAGGCTGAGGTGAGTGGATTGCCTGAGCCCACGGGTTCGAGACCCGCCTGCGCAGCGAGACCTCATCTCTACAATAAATCAAAAATCAGCCGGGCGTGGTAGCACGCGCCTGTAATTCTGGATACTCGGAAGGCTGAGGTGGAAGGATTGCCAGAGCCCAGCAGGTTGAGCCTGCGGTGGCCGGGAGCGGCCACTGCACTCCAGTCTGGGCAATGGAGTGAAACTCCAACTCAAAAATAAATAAATAAATAAAAAAAATAAAAATAGATTTCACATCGCTTAAGTGTGCAATGTTTATAAAGTCTACAGTAGTGTGCAGCAGTGTCCTAGGCCTTCACATTCACTCCCCACTCACTCACTGACTCATTCAGAGTAAATTCCAGTCCTGCAAGCTCCACTCATGCTAAGTGCCCTAGCACAATTTTTATCAGTTATATCATATTTTTACTGTACTTATTTGGCTACATAAATACTTACCATTGTGTCACAGTTGCCTGCAGTGTTCAGTACAGTCACACAGCTGCACAGATTTATAGCCCAGGCGCAATAGGCCTTCCCATGTAGCCTAGGTGTGTAGTAGGCTATACCATCTAGGTGTGTGTAGGCTGACCCTACAATATTCACACAATGACAAAATCACTTCTCAGAACATATCCCCATCGTTAAGCAACACATGACTGTGCTTGGAACATTACAGGCTTGAGATGAGCTCACGAGTACTGCTGTGAGCGGCAGTGGCTTGGTTTCCCAAGCAGCTCCACCGGCTCAAGGACTGCTGTCCGCCCCCCATCACCTTTGTACCTGCGGGTACAAAGCCCCTATTTCAATTCTATATCAAATTAACATAACCCTAAACCTAACATTAATAATTTTAATTGCCCTAACCTCTAACGCATTAGGCGGCTGAGGAGGACTAAACCAAACACAACTTCAAAAAATCCTAGCTTACTCTTCCATTGCCCACATAGGATGAATAATCGCAATTCTAAAATATAACCCTACCATCATAATCCTTAACCTCCTCATCTACATCACCCTAACAATTACACTATTTTCCATATTAATCCTATTTTCAAGCACTACCATCCTAACAATATCCAACTCATGAAATAAAATTCCATTAGCATCATCCATGATACCCCTAATTCTGCTATCCCTAGGAGGATTACCCCCACTCACAGGCTTCCTCCCTAAATGAGCAATCATTCAAGAGTTCATAAAAAACGACAACACCCTTATCCCAATATTAATAGCCATTACAGCCCTACTTAACCTATACTTCTACATACGACTAACCTACTCAACAACCCTAACCATATTCCCAGTTAACAATAATACAAAAATAAAATGACAATTCAAAAACACAAAACTAATACTTATTATGCCCACCCCATCAATTTTATCCACCTTACTTTTACCCATGTCTCCTGTACTCCTACCATTGGAATAGGAATTTAGGTTAACTAGACCAAGAGCCTTCAAAGCCCTAAGTAAGCTAATACATGCTTAATTCCTGTACCTTCTTTTTTCCCAACTAAGGACTGCAGAGGCTTACTCCACATCAACTAAATGCAAATCAGTCACTTTAATTTTAAGCTAAATCCTTCACACTAGAT